AGAGGGCATCTAAAGTTTATCCATTAAATCAGAAACAGATTTATTTTAAAAGCTTAGTGAGCTAAATACGTTTCTAGTCTTTGGAGTACAGAGGTGAGTGAAATCTATACCTTGGGCTGTATTACCTCATTTTTCCTGTGACTCACAATTTATTTTTCTCCTCTCCCCATCCTTGAGGGAGAAGAGATTCCAGGCTATACGGAGCCCAGCAAGGAAACAGAGTCTCAGGCTCATGCTAGGGGGACATCGTAGGAGGCGGACTATTTTAGAGCCAGCCCTCAGCCGAGCTCATCCCAGTGAAAACATCCCCTTCTCCTCCCTCTGCTTCCTTTGATCAGATGGGAAATACCCTCATTTTGTCCTTCCCCAAATTCTCCTCTAGTGAATTAGATATTCTTCAATATCTGATTACATTATACTTTAATGAAATATTTATTTTCACACATTATACTTTAATAAAAAATTTACTTTAAAAAAAGTGTATCCAAGAGAAGTTGCCCACAAGTGAACATTGATACTCCTCTCAACTGCTTAAAAAATATTTCTTTATTAAATGTATTCAATAAGTATCTTCTGCACTTCCTGCTATAAAAACTGACCCACTGTGCTAGACTCTTGGGACAAAACTATGAATAAGACAGACATAGATCCTACTCTCAGGGAGTTTCCACGCTAGTTGCAGGAGAGAAACAAAACACAGGAGAAGAAAGCATAAAGTGCATCAAATATGAAGAAAACAAAAGCCTAACAGAGAAAAAGGCAGGCTTCCTTAGAAAGCGTGGCCAAAGAAGGTCTCCATAAGGAGGTGACATTTAGGTTTAGGATGGGAAGGAGCTGTGCTCAGAAAGGCTGGGACTGGAGTTGCAGTGTCGACTCTGGATGCAGGAGGAGGAAAGGCTCTGAGGCGGGAATACAAGCTTTGGATGTAAGAGGAAGAAGCTAAATGCCACCAGAAAACAAAACAAAACAGGAGACCAAAAAACTAAGCTGTTGGTTACCTATTAATAATTGAATCAGGCTAAACAGTAACTGTAAAGGTTGAACATCTTTTTTTTTTAAGCCAAAGAACCAATACAAGGATGGAAACATGGCTGAGCTCTCCCAGAGTCAGGCACTGACCAGTCAGCATGTTCCATGTCATTTCAATCTTAGAAGCTGATCAGTTTACCACACACACCATCAGAACCGGCCTGGAGGGTGGAATGTGAGAGCGGGCACCCATAACAACAGGAAAAAGAGCACTTCACTGACAGCTGTCGTCCAGGTGAGTCGATCCCTGTCTTGTTCTCCCCTCCCTCTTTCCGGAGTATTTTCACCTCGAGAAACACTGAAAAACATTCAAAATCTCTGAGTTTAGTCAGAACTAGTTCTGTTGAAATAGGTAGAAATCCAATTCAATTAGATAAGTAAACAAACAACATTACAGTGGGGAGGATTTAATCGTTTATGCAACTGAAAAGTACAGGGACAGATTAGGAATGGCTGAATTGAAGACCTCAAACTTCTCTTTCTCTATTTCTCCTCTCTGCTCTTCTTTTCTCTGCTTTGACTCCACATTCAGGGTACACCCTCCAGCATTTTCAGATTTATGTTGTCTTTCCCATGAGTAATTCCAAGATACAAAAAGGGCTTCTTTAACCTTAGCTTCTGGGTCATGTGCCCATGTCTGAACCGATCACTGGGCTGTGGGATGCGGGAGCGCAGACTGGCAGGCCTGGGTTAGGGACCTAGACCTGGAGCTGGAGGATGAAGACACAGAAGGTGGAGGACGGTGGCAGCCTCTCCCAGGCAAGACTAAAGTCGAGGGGGTGTGGTTCCTCAGAAGGGAAACTGGGGCGTTGTCTCAAGAAGCGGGAATGCAGGCTGAGCCATGAAAAAAAACAATAGCCATACACATGCACTGCAGTTCGTCTCTTGGCTTCCCTTCTTCCATACACATGGGTTTTAAAATGCTCCCACTTAATAGCATGCAATTATTCTACACAGGCATGAAAATGCATTCACCCACACTCCAAAGAGAGAGAACCTTACTTTGTGTCTGGCTCCTAGTCCATGACCTTTAAATGATTTTTATTCTCTCTTTCTGACAGCTTATGACGGAACTACAAATTTGATCACTTCGCACACAGTCAGCGTAAAACGGCAGAGGGAAAAATAGGGTAACTCCTACTTGAAAGCAAAGGAAAAGGTAAATAATAAGCAGGAAAACTGTCCCATAGGATGCATTCAATTCTGATAATTAGAAATAGCAAGAATTACCTGTCCCACAGAGAATTGAGTTGTTTGGCCAATGCAGCTATCTCCACTTTAACCCTGGAGAAAGATTCTTATTGATTATTTTCCTCCATAACCACAACTGTGATGGGAATTGGGGAGGGTTTCCCTTCTCCAGGCTGAATTGCTTTAGCCACCCACTTGCTATTGTAGTTCAGAGGTATGGAGTTCATCCACACTCTAGACTCTGATCTGGGGCTTTCTGATTTTTAAGGAAAGAACTTAGAGCTGAGTCACTTTCCAGTCTTCAGTTTAATGGCTGCCATCTTGACCTCTGCCAGGGGCAATTTGAATCAATTAACTGAGGGTGAGGAGGACCAACCGATTGGCCTCTTGATGCAAGACTGTGTCCTAGTGGATAGCTCTTTTAATTAGGGTGACCTGCTTTAGAGCTGTCATTCAGGTGTAATTATTAATAGCACCCCTACTCACACTCCAAACTGTCCCATTTTGGATGATAAATGTATGGTCACCCTACTTAAAATGGGGTTAATTCTTCCCTTCCTCAGGCGGGGCTGGCACAGCAGGAGGATTTTGATGCAGACCCTGGAGACAGTCTTTCCACGATCAGTTTTTTACCTTCATGCCTTTGCTGTCACTCTGGAAAGGGCAGAGAATTTCATTTTTCCAGCCAGGCATGGCTCAATAGGTCTGACTCTTGACCATTTGAGTTTGTTGGCTAGAGGCAGAAAGAGTATCTCTCAGTCAGGCTGTAATTTCTTCCTCCCTGCCTCTACATAGGCCAGTTTCAGCATCAGCATGTTTCTTTCTTTAGAACCTTTATAAAAACTATAAGTAGCCAAACCTCGTAAAATCCTGACATTTGTCAATCAAGACCGCTAAAACTCCACCCTTGAAATACTGGGGTCTGAGACCTCTCATTCAGGTTCTTGGCTGCCATATCACAAGGATTTCCAGTTCTCTAGCCTGGTACAGAGGGATCCTTTCTAGTCTCACTCTTCCTCAACTTAGCCAATTGTACATTTAAGGATCTGTACTGCAACACCCCACGCCCAGCTGTATAGAACTCTTTTGGCTACAAGAGATAGAACTTAACTCAAAATAGCCTAAGCCAAAAAGGGAATGTTTTGGCTCATGTAACTAAAAATCTAGGAGTATCTTGGCTTCAGTCATGATCAAATATCAAAAGGATTTGCTTATGCATGTATTCTCTCTTTTTCACACACACACACACTCACCCCCCACCCCGCCCCAGCTCTGCTTCCTCCCTAATAGCTTATCCCTTGTACACCAATGGAATAGATTCATTGGCATTGTTGATGACATACCCGCTGCTGAAGTGGAGGTGGAGACTGGCTCTGCTCCTCCGTAAACCATAAGGACTAAGGGTGGGAAGGGGATTATTTCCCCAAAGGTGCTGTTACCAGAAAAAGGGGAGATGGATGCTTGCTAGGGTGTGAGAAACAACAGATGTCCCCCTTATTATACTTGAAAGTGTAACAAATACATGTAGGCAAATCTGTCCAGGCTCAATTCCCCTTTTGAAAGGTGAGAATGAGAATACTTATCTGTTCTACCTCAAAGTGAAGTTAAAAAAAAAAAAAACGCAAGGGAAAATATTTGCTTAATTTGAAAATAAAATAAAACGCAAACCCACAGGCTTAAAGTTTAGACTTTTCTGAAGTAGCTGTGTGCCTTTGGAACCTGTTGTCAAGTTGGAAAACTTGACATCCATCCTCCAACAGCGGGGGAGCCCTTGTTTCCCTCCTCTCACCCGCTTGTCTATTACCTTCCCCTGAGGACACCAAGCGCTGGGGAGGGCGCATGACGAGGGAGAAAGGAATGTCACTTCTGTCTGGTCTCAGACTCTGCAGATCTTAGCTGGGAATGTGCAGTTTATTAATTTCAACCTCAACATCTTCAGTAATGATACGTAGCAGGAATTAGTTAATTCTACAAGTATTTGTTGAAAGCCTAATCCCTTATCCTTTCTCTCTCCTCTGTCTTCGTCTTCTGCCTCTCTCCCAGACCTTTCGCAACAGCATTTAAACATCCTCAAGGAGCTCTCATCTTAAAAACCAAACAAATAAAAACCCCACGAACAGAAAACCCTCTTTAGACCCTACCTCCTTCCCAGCTACCACCCCTTTGCAACCAAATTTCACACACTGTGTCCATGTGTATGATCTGCACTTCCCCGCCTCCGTTCCCTCCTCTGGGCACTCCCGACCCCTCCTGCTCTCACTGGAACAAGAGTTTATGGAAAGAGCACCACTTTCGGAGAACACAAACCTCTGTATATGGCTTTGTTATAGCGCTTAAATAGTGCGTAATAGTAATTGTGTGATGTCAGCTGGAATGGGAGCTTCCTGAGGGTAAGACGTAGCTCGTAAGTGTCTTGCTGTTGAGGGTTATCTTATGTCTGCTCCAGGCACAGTGACTAGCATGTAGCAAGTGTTAAATAAATCTTTGTCAAAGTAATTAATTAACCTGGGTTGGCAAGAAAAGAGAAGGGACAGGTTTGGTACAGGATGAGACAATGAGAGAAATGTTAGGTATCTTGAGCTGAGGTTAGACATGCAGGAGGAGGAGGAGAGTGTACTGTATTAGAAGCAAGGCAGAAAATAGCTTTAGTGCAGGTGTAATGGACAATGTTAAATGCTACAGGCAAGTGTATCATCTTTTCAAATTGAACACTAGAAGAGGTCACTGGATTTGCCAAACAACGATTATCAATTATCTTTTCTTGGGGGAGGGCAGTTTCACTGGAATGTTCTAGATTGCAAACCGTTAAGGAGCAGTAATTTGTAGGGTCAGGAAAAGGCAAGGATCACAGCACAGTTCATTTAGGTGGACAGTCAACAGAGTGATATGCGACACTCTTCGGAAGTAGGTGATTATATTTGCATGCTTCTCATCAACTCAACATCTTAAATTAATCCAGCCCATCTTATGCTTGTGGTTAAGGATCTCCAGGGAAAGAGAACTACAGCAAAAAAAAGTGGACACACTTTTTTTAAGTGTAAACTAAACCCCTCACCCAAATGTTCTGATTCATGTACATTTGAAATGTGAGATGCCTAGTGGATACGACAGGTAATTATGACTTATATGATTACTTTTCAAATACATTTTAGAGCATCCTAGAACCTCTCCTTTCTTAGCTCTGTTCATTACATTCTGATCACTCTCTTTATGACAAAACAGAGGCTTTTAGTCATTTAGTCTCTATGTGGCCCTTCCTTGACTTTCCCACGAGAGTCCTGGGTATGTAGTTCCAGAATTAGATAGGAATTTGTGGAGGATGTTATAGACTCCTGATAGGCTGAAAGTGGAGTTCCTCTCTTGTAGCCAACGTCCTCCTTCCCTAACCCCCACACACCCACTCACTACACAGTGGCCATCACGTTTGTTCTGTAGGACAGAGGAAACTGAATCCTAAGGGTGAACTCGGGAAAGATAAACACAAAGTCCAGCACGTTCCTAATTCAGCAGCACACGCGGTTTTACGTGTCTTATAGTTAATCCATGTAATTTGTTTTCAATCTCTTAATTTAATTACTTTTCTTGAAAAGATGCCTGGGACAAGGCCAACATTGGAGGGAGGAATGTCACTAGGTCAGGATCTGGAAACAATCAGCTCTTATGGTTTTAAGGATGAAGCGCCAATATCTTAAGGCACCTGAATTCCTGGTGAGCAGTCAAGTTCTTTAATCCGCCCCCAGAAGGATTCCGGCGGCTTGAAAAAGAAAAAGAAAATCTATTACAAATACAAGTCAAACCAACGCTAACCACCCCCCCACCCACAAACTTCCCCATTTCTTTGCTTCCACCGCAGCTTTTTTTCCTAAAGAAAGAGTCCTCCCGCACACTGCGACAGCTCAGCGGCAGACTCCAATCAGGGGGCGGCCACCGGTGCGCGGAGCGCGAATTCCGGCGCGGCGACCAGTGTCCTCCGAAGCCCCGGGCCCCGCGTGCGCCACGGGGCGGGGCCCAGGGCGCGCCACCCCGCCGCTCGCTTCCCCGGCGCGCTTAGGGAGGAAAGGAGCGCCGCTCCTCCAGTCCCGGGGTCCTGGTCTGGCCGGAGCTGCCTCCCAGGCGCCCACTGCTGTGGTGGCAGGAAGTCCCCGGGAACTACAAATCAAGGCATGCTGGGAACATTCCCCTGCTCCTCCCAGGAAATGTCCTTTGTCCAGCCCTACAGGAAGCCCCAGTGAGGAGTCAGCCGGGCAGCCAGCCAGTCTGCCAGCCAGCCCGCCGCGGTCGCTGCAGCTGCCGCCGCCGCAGCACAAGGGCAGACGCGCCGCGGCGCGGGGCTCGGGCCGGGGCGCTCGGTGCCCTCGCTCCTCGCGGCGCCCGCCGCCGCGCAGGTAGGAGCGTGGCTGCGGCTGGGTTCACCCGCCGCCTGGGGATGGGGCTGACCGGGATCCGACAGGACCGCTGCAGGGATGGGGTGTGCGCCCGAGAGCGGGGCGCGGAACGGCTGGGCGAAGTGGTGCCTCGTAGACTGGACCGTTGTCCGCTCCCCGGGGTCGCAGGGGCCCCGGGCGCATGGGGTGCTCTCGCGGCCCCCAAGCCCGGGCTGAGCTCCCGCCGGGGTCTGTGGCGAGGGGCGGGGAGGAGGAGGCTGAGACGCTGGGGAGGAGACAGCGCTGCGAGAGGGAGTCGGACCGTCCCGCCGACCACCGAAGGGGGCATCCGAGACCCTCGGAAAAACGAAGCCCAGGGAGGAGCTTGGAAGGCAAGGAGAAGGTGAAGGGCTTTGTGTGCAGCTGCGGACCAGGACCGATTGCGCTCCTCTCGCCTTGTCTGTCCGCGCCCCCAGCCCCACACGGGGCTGAAGGGGCGAGGGTGGGGGACTCCGAGGAGGGGCCGCGCATCATCTTGGGTCCTTCTGAAATGTGTTCCTTCTTTTTCCTCTCCGCTCTGTTCTAGCCCGATAGATCAGCGGTTTGGGCTGCCATCAGACTGGGCAAATGGCACAATAAAGATGGGTGGGTGGAGAGATCGGCAGCAGCTCGCCGCCCTAGAGGGGTCGCCGTTTAGTCTGGTTGGCTTCCCAACTCCAAATGTTCCTGTCTGCCGATGGGTGGGTGGGTGGTGGGGCAAAGCTGATACCTTCACCCAAGGAGAATGCCACGCTCAGGACTGTGAGTGGAGGCATGGGTGAAGCGCGTGTTGGGAGGAGAGGGCGAGTAAGAGGCTGAGGGGGGAACAGCTGCTCCGGGGGCGCTGAGTGTACCTTATGGCCAGTGTACATTATGGCCAGGCTTCCAGAATCGGATTACCACTTTCTCCTGAACTTCCCACGATTTTCTTTTTTCCTAGCCGCCCACCCAGTAGTGAATCACCAACTCTTGCTACAGGGGTGCCAGGTTGCGCTCAATTTGGTGATGTATCCTTGACCTTATAGGGGGCCTATTTGTCCTTTACCTTAGGGTGACATGAATACTCTGCATCCCCTATGGCATTATCCCCCTCCCGAGGGACCAAGGGTGTGGTAAAGGCGGTTGGATAATGGCTAGCAAGTTAATAGTGTTTGAGAGGCTGTGATGGACGAGTGGGCAACTTTGAACGGGGACCAAGTGTTACTGCTCTAACTGAACTCACGTGCCTTAGGGGCCTCTATTTCTCCCTTTTCCTCTCCCCTGTTTTTTTTTTTAATACTGTACCCAAGTGCTGGCTTCCTTCTCTTAACAAGCCAACATATGGATATTATTTAATGTGGAATACATTCTTAGAGCCAAATGAACCTTTAAAAATGCCTCTTGGGGGTGAGGGAGGAGTACCCAGGGTTCATGGTAAGAAGGATGCGGTAGGACACAGGGCCCTGCACCCTATATAGATGGCTTGTAGTGGAAAACAGAACATTTTCACTAGCTTCTCTAGGAGACATGAAGCATCAGAAGTGAGATAAGAATGGAGTGGGGAGAAACCCAGTTGTCCAGGGTGAGGGCATGAGGATGGCAAAATAAAGGGAAAAGGCTCTGAATTTGGAAGATGATTCCTAGTTGGAACATATTGGCTGTGTGTGTGTGTGTGCACGTGCATGGGCACACATGCATGTTGGAGGTGGAGATTGCTGTCGGGGGAAATTTGATGTCAGAAGTTCAGCTGGGTGCCAAAGAGAATAAGATGGCAGCAGAGTGAACCAAAGTCATAAATGGGAAGTCAGGCTGCCCTTTATTTTACAGAAAGGAAAACATAGATGGCCTTCAAAAATGATGAGGACGAAGCGCGTGAATGGAAACAATAGACTGAGGAAAGCCAGCTGATGGGGCTCAGTTGCATTGAGGAGGGTGACCTCACCAAAGGTTATGTGACTAAGGCTGACAGTGTTGCCTCACATTTCCTCTCCCTCCACCCAGAAAAGCTCTTTGGATTGCCTCAGAATCTACGTGTTTGCCTAATTTCTGGTGTCCAGTTAGTTAAGGGAAGGAGAAAGGATAAAAGCTGGTTACAAAGATGATAAATTAAGACAAGAAAGATATTGCCTGCTCATGTAGAGTGAAAAAAAACCCCAAAAGCTGCAGTACTATTAAGAATTCTGGAGCCTGAGCCCATGCCAGTGCTATTTGGGCTTTTCTTTGTATCTAAGATCCTACTTCTTCTTTTTTTTTTTTTTACCCCTTAACAGGTTTCTTAGTACCACACACTATGGAGTGTTAATGTAATCAACAAAGGTAAGTCCTTAGTTTGGCATTCAGAACCCTTCACAATTTAGTGCTCACCTACCTCTATCCTCCACTGGACTGGGGCCATCCCAAATTACCTACTCATTCTTGCAGCAAACAGCTCCCCATTCCTGGATGCAACAGACATTCTTCCTCCTGTGTGTCTCCATCAGGTTGAACTCCATGCTTTCTGGGCATCCCTCCACTGCCCCTGACTATTTTCTCCAAATCCTAGCCCAGCTGATGTAGCACCCTCGTAGAAGTCTTCTCAGACCTCCCAGTCAGAATTAATCTCATCCGCGTGGTACTTTGTGTGACATCCTTTGGATGACACACATCTCTGGTGTGCCTTGTGGTAGTTAGATGTTCATCTTTCTCCCCTTCAAACTGTAAACCCCATGAGGGCAATGGCTCTCTCTACCCCATGCTTTATACCTAGCAAGTGCACAAAGGATGTTTATTTGAGAAACATGCATAAAGGAAGGAATGAGTGAAAGAATGCATGCATCTTAATTTATCTCTTTCCTTTTCTATAAAAAAGCGGATGAAGCCTTCCTCATAGACCTGTGAGAATTCATTGCAGTTGTGAATCTAAAGCTTCTAGACTGGAGCTTTTCCTTTTGTTTCTGGATTAAGAGACCCTAAAAGGACCTATCACAGTGTCTAGTAGAAAGACATTCATTAAAAGTTTGTAGCATAGGTTCTTCACCAGCCTAAGTTTTCAAACTTGATAGGCAGGGTATAGAATGGATTAATCACAAGTGGATAATCCATGACTTTTGTCTTGCTGCTGGACTGAGGAAGGTGATTGTTTCCTCTCAATCATGAAGGTGAGGTGTGCTTTCTTGAAAAAGTGGCTTATTTGTAACTAACCCACTGACATCCATCAGATTGTTGGGATTTTTATAGCCCAAGCAATCTAGCAGGATTAAGATGTAGCATATAAAAGTATAAGACAGATCAGACTCTCAAATTTTCCCCTAAAGACATTGCAGTTTTGTAGTCCCTCGCTTATCTCTAACTGAACAGTTTTTCATGCTTCCTTTTTACATGATGACAACAGTTACTGTTTATTAAACATCTATATATCAACTATTGAACTAGATAATTTCCATGAATTGCCTCAATCTGATGATTTACCTATTATTATCTCCATTCTACTTTTTTTGTGTGTGTGTGAGGAAGATCCGCCCTGAGCTGATATCCATTGCCAATCTTTTTCCTCTTTTTTTGCTTGAGGAAGATTAGCCCTGAGCTAACATCTGTGCCAATCTTCCTCTACTTTGTATGTGGGATGCCTCCACAGCATGGCTGATGAGTGGAGTAGGTCCCTGGCTGATGAGTGGAGTAGGTCTGTGCCCAGAATCCGAACCGTGGAACCTGGGCTCCCGAAGCGGGGGCATGTAGAACTTGAACCACTCAGCCACGGGGCTGGCCCCGTGGAATATTATCTCCATTCTAAAAATGAGGAAACTGGGCCTCAGAGATAAGTTAAGAAACTTGCTTAAAGTCCCAGATTCTGAACTGACGATAGGCTGGACTTTAGGTCTGTTGCCTCCTGAGCCTGTTCAGAATGGCTGTATCTTTGCTTTCTCTGGGAGAAAACTGCCGGATCTCTATGCCTTCTTCCTCTGACGTCCTCCACTTTCCAGATTTCCTACCAGGAACATTGCTGGGCTTCTAAATTCATCCTAGTGGATCTCATTCTGAGAGGCACTGGCTTTTCATAAATTCCTTATTTTTATGCCCTTAAACTCCCATGGCCATCAGTTGGAAAGACTAGGTTCAGAATCCCTAACAAGACCTTTGGGCACAGAACTGTTTGCCTGGAATCGTTTTTCCTTCCCAGCCTCTCCGAATTCTTTCTGTTCTTCCCTGCAGGCCAAGTCTTACCCCGTCTAGGTAACCTTTCTTAACTCTTCAGGCCACATTCAGCCTCTCCTCTAATCTTTTGCATTGTCTGAAATACCTAAGACTTAATGTCTTCTTAATGAAAGTAAACTTGAATAAGTCCCCAGAGTGTGCTGGAATATCTGCATATTTCCTGCACATGGCAGGAACTGTGTGTCCAGAACACAACCCAGCATATGGTGGGCTTTCAGGAACTGTGAGTTAATGATGAATTGGTAATGACTCAAAATGCAGAAATGTAGCCATGAAACATTATTTGCATGTTGACAGTTTGTAGGAGAGGGATAAGAGGGATCATTTTCTTAGTTAATTTTCATCCTTTTCACGTGACTGCCAGAAGAAGTACCCTGGAAATATGCCAGAGCAGATCTGTGTATTGCTGAGTTCCACGGGCTCGACTAACATCAGTGCTAAATGAGTATGGTGTTCATTCCTTTGGGCAGCACGGGTGGGGCCATTGTTTCATCCTTCCCCCTTGCTCTCATGCCCACCTTCTGCCATATCCTCTAGGAAAGGCCTCTTTACTGTACATGTGAGAAAATCAGAGGGTTTCCCTGCCTCTGCAGATATGGGAAAAAAAAAAGAAAGAAAGAAAGGCTGGGTGAGGAAGGAAGATAATTCCTTCCGTTTTACCCCAGGGAGTAGCATGGTTTGTGTCGGGTATGGATTTGGGCTTCACTGCATCGTGTATTAATGGGGATGGCAGAAAGATCAGTGGCCTCTCCTCTTGGGATGGAAAATGCTTTTACCCGCCACAAGATTGAATTCATCTCCTGAGGCTGACTGAGCCTTCCCTTTCCCTTACTCAAGGCCACATAGCACTTTGGAAGCCTCTATATAAACGCAGTGTGCCATGGATTGTTATATGCAAATTAGTCATTTTAAAGGAAAATAGGACAGTTCTTGGGAGCCCTACATTTGTTCAGCAGGTCATGCCCTGTGCATCCATAGGCTAGCAACAGTGTTCCAGCTAGGTATGCGGGAGAGCCACATGCAATTCTTCGGGTTCCCCTTCCTGCAGAGGGCCAAGTCTGAGTGCTGTGCATGCAGATCTAATTAGCTAAAATGAGGGAAAAGGGCCTACTTTTATTCAGAGAGGCATTTTAGATATATTGTCTTCTGAAAACTTTATCAAGATCTTACCGTAAGTTCGAAAACAGGAACCATTCTTTTTGGGTTCTATTAACAAGAAATACGTTGCTTTGGTCTCACTGTCTCAGTGCTGTGCATATTCATGTGGTTGGCACATCTTTGATGCTTGATATCTTAGGCAGGGCACTACAGGAAGAACACATTTCCAATTGTTGACTTTTTTCCCCTCATACGTGGGAACATTTGTGAATTTCAAAGAATCACTTTTTTTTCTAGCTTTTTGTGTTTGAATAATCCCTCAAGCAGGTATTCACAATGATTTCTGGTAGCAGTAGGTGATTTCGAAAGCAATGGATTTTTAAAATTATTTCATTAGAATGTAATCTCCCCAAAGCAGAACTCAGAATAATGTGTAGCAAATGGTAAGTGTTCAATAAATATTTGTTGAAAGAAGGAATGTGTTATGTTTTAAAACATTCCATTTTGATTCGTTCCTAATATGATGGCACTGCCAATTTTTTACAGCGAGGTGTAGCAAAGGGTGTATGCTTGTATGTTACATAAGCTATGAAAATTATTTTATATGTATATAAATATATGATTTTTTAAAAAATAGACTTTAGTTTTTAGAACAGTTTTAGGTTCACAGCAATATTGAGCAGAAAGTACAGAAAGTTCCCATGCCCCCGGCCCCACACATGCACAGCCTTTCCCACTATCAACATCCTGCACCAGCGTGGTATGTTTGTTACAACTGATGTGCCTTTGTTGACACATCATTATCACCCAGTCCATAGTTTACTCTAGCATCACTATTGTACATTCTATGAGTTTTGACAAATGTGTGATGACCTGTATCCACCATTGTAGCATCATGCAGAATAGTGTCACTGCCCTAAAAGTTGTCTGTGCTCCACATAGTCATCTCTTCTTCCCGTCTGACTCCTGGCAACCACTGATCTTTTTACCATCTATAGTTTTGCCTTTTCCAGAATGTCATATAGTTGGAATCATACAATATGTAGCCTTTTCAGATTGGCTTCTTTCACTTAGTAATATACATTTACGGTTCCTCCATGTCTTTTCATGGCTTGATAGCTCATTTCTTATTAGCTCTGATTAATATTCTGTTGTCTGGATGTACCATAGTTTATCCATTCATCTACTGAAGGACATCTTGGTTGCTTCCAAGTTTTGGCAATTATTAATAAAGCTGGTATAAACTTCCATGTGCAGGTTTTTGTGTGGTGGACATAAGTTTTCAACTCATTTGCATAAATACCACGGAGTGAGATTGCTGGATTGTATGGTATGAGTATGTTCAGTTTTGTAAGAAACTGCCAAACTGTCTTCCCAAGTGGCTGTATCATTTTGCATTCTTATCAGCAAGGAGAGTTCCTGTTCCTCTACCTCTTCACCAGCATTTGGTGTTGTCAGTGTTTTGGATTTTTTGCCGTTCTAATATATGTATAGTGGTGTCTCATTCTTGTTTTAATTTGCAGTTCCCTAATATGATGTTGAGCATCTTTTCATATGCTTATTTGCCATCTGTATATCTTTGGTGAGGTATCTGTTTAGATCTCTCGCCTGTTTTTAAATTAGGTTGTTCACTTTCTTATTGTTAAATTTTAAGAGTTCTTTGTGTATTTTGGATAACAGACTTCTATCAGATATGTCTTTTGCAAATATTTTCTCCCAGCCTGTGGCTTGTCTTCTCATTCTCTTGATATATTTTTATGTATATGAACTTTTCCTGTCTTTTTCTTTTTGGAGAGTGTATGTGTGGCAGATCTATTTTAATATAAAACCAGTTTACCCCAGAAATGAAAAACCAAAGTGTGAAATAAACTTGAAGAAACACTCCCCTACTTTTTTTTCTAATAAGGTTAAATGTCAATTGAATTTAACCAGACTGGCCACAGCCTAAACTAGCTTGGGGGCAGTTACTATAGGAACTCCTTTATTTCTGTTTCCCCACTCCTTAATTGGTACTTGTGTGTATCGAC